CTTTACAGTGTGGTGTATCTGCTCCCTTCTCTATATCCTCTTTAATATAATCAATTTTGTGTAGCAAAACACACGACAATAACGTAGTGTGTTGTTTGGAGGTCTTGTACTGGGAATCAAAAAAGTCAGTCTCAGTCCCTTATGTTCTGTAGCAGCATAAAACATTTATCCAACTTTCAGTTTCTGTTTTGTTGATAAAGTTCTGCACCATTTACCTACTGCAGAGGAGTCAACACTGACTCATCAAGATTAAAAAAAAAAAAACCAAAACATAAAAATCAAGCTTAATTATTTCCAAAGACTTCAAAGTTTAAAAGATAGACCCTTGTTTCACATCAAAGTATCAAAGAAGTATAAATGTTGCTTGCTTAAACAACTGGTTTGGTGTTGGGGTTTTTTGTGGTTTGGGTGTTTCGGGTTTTTTTGAGTGTAGTGCCAACACTGGTAGTTGTTTCAGATACTTTCTGAATGCTGTCTGGTCCTTTCTCAAACCCTTTGGAAGTTGAGAACTATAATTTACATTTAGAAAGAAAAGTAGGGAGTAGGGAGGGTGTTGAGGAATGTAAGACTCGAACCAGTCAGTTTCTTAGTAAAGATAGCAATGTTCCGGGAATCCTCATCGTGCACCAGACTCGTTAACCATCATATTTGTTTGGTCAAAACTGAAGACTGACTGATCTGCGAGCAGTTAACAGAACTGACCTAGCTAATGTGGATATGCTGTTTGAAGTTAGTGACAGTAATTCCCTCAGTTTGCTGCATTGGCAACTTTAAATATATTTGTGTGATTCCTGACTTAACAAAGGCATGACTGCAAAGCCGTTGTTGCAGTTGGGGGGGTTGGGGGTTTCTTATGGGTTTTTTTTTTTCCTTTATGATTGCAGCAGAATTTGCAGTTTGAACCTCTTGAATCCCATTTAACCAGAATCCTCAAAGTGGACACAGAGAAATGTAGTGCAAAGGCTCGGTCTGCACTTCAGTGTTTCCTGGCATAGATACGATGACTTGGGAAGGAGTTAGGAGGAGGACTGAACCCTAAAGAAACATACCCATGCTAGGAGTGATTTTCTTCATTGATCCAAGAGATAAATTCCATTCATAAAGCCACTCTTCAGATCAGCCCTAAGGCATGTGGCATCAGGTCTACACAACTATGAATGTCTGGCAGGTTTGAGTGCAGCATCCTTTCAGCTGTTTTCTCACTGGTCTTTGGAAAGAAAGATATGGTGCAGCCTTTTCAAAACAACTATTTAACTTCAGAAGCGTAGTGTGAAGGCATTAATATTATAGTTCGTGGATGTATACATAACATAGAGTGTAAAAAGGTCCATTTTATTTGTATTGTCTTCCAGCATCCAGGTGGAGAGCTGGGTGAGTAGACTGACAACTTTCCTTTTTTTTCTTCCCCCCTATTCTTTCCAGGTTTCATTTTTTTACATGCCTGGAACACTGTTTCAGTTCTAGTATGTTTAAACACCACCAGATTGGTTTTTATTACATCCTTGGTTGAGGAGCTAGATCCTATAGTATTAAAGTCATTGTTAGTCCGTGATTAAGTCAGGGTTACTAGGAAATAATATTTTTACCAGCCAAGCAGATACATTTTGAGCAAAAAGAAATACACTCACCACTCTTCAAAGTCTTAAATAGAAGTAGCAATTTGGAAAGTGTTCCTCTGAGCTTAATTTAATAATGTTTAATTCATTTGGGTGATGGGAAAGAAGTAGTCATTAGTATCTATGTAATTTTTTTTTAATGTTTTGATGACTGTTTATAGAATATTTGCGTTTGTCTGCTTTCTGTCTCCTTGAGTTCCATATTACTCAGTGCAAACAGTTACTCGGGAAGAAAAGAAAGGCATTTTTTATTTAATATTCACAGGTAGGGTATAGACAAGCATGGCTTGTGCACACAGCTGAAGGAAGTTGCACACATGTTGGCTCACCTCTGCCTACTTGTTGCTGCTTGTCTGCCATAAGGATTGCCTCTTCAAATCTTTTGGTGGAACTGCTTTTGAAGCTTCTGCTCTACCGGTGCCGGTCACACGTAGCAAAGTAAACCTTGATGAGTGACCTTCAAGTCATGGTCTGTGAACTGCTTTTAAGGCATCTGTAAAAATTAAGAAAGAAGTTAGAAGCCAGACCTGCTGCCAGGATTTTGCACATTGTGTGGAAAAAATGTTGAGGTCTTCAACCTCAAGAAAGTACTGATGACTACCAACTTCAGAGCTTCCGTTTAAGTCGAAGATATTGCTTCAGTTTAAGTAGATGTTGCTAATTCTGCCAGTAGGAAGTGGTCTTTCTTGCTAACACAAGCCATACTACTATTAAATGTGAGACAATGGTAACTTTTGGAGAAACAGCAGGGACATGCTACTGAGAAGAGCTACCTAACAGCCTTCTCTAGGGAAGAATTTCTGTTCTCAGTATTATACTGGTAGGCTTTTTTTATTTTCTTTCCTTCCTTGAAGTAGCATATTGGTTTTGGGGCAGTGATACTGTCTTTACAGACAAAATAACCATATCTTGCTGTTTTAGACTAACTGTCAAATCCCTTTCTATCATATATGAGATTTAAATGTTTATTTCATTTCCGTAATGCAGAGTTGTCTTAAAATAATTAATTGATTCTGAAAAACGGAAAACCTCTTATAAAGCTTGCTGAATGAAACGTTAGGCTTTGGGGCAGAAATATAGTTTTTTGAGGGGCTCTCTGTGTCATTATGTGTAAGTAACAGCTCTTTGAGCACTGCTAAACTGGAAGGAGAATAGAAGATACCATTCATTGTGGAAAAATGGAGTGTGAACATATAAGTTGTTAAGAAGATTGTATTTTCTGGCTAACAGACATGGTGGCTAATGTAGTTGCACATAGAGCAGTAAAAATTTAAAATGCTCTGTTACACAATTGTCTAAATAATTAGTGAACCCTAAAATTCTTTGCTGCTGCCTGGGCCCAAAAACGAATATCTGAAAAGATGTTGTCCTTACTTTAAGAAAGGATGTGGTTCTAGTGAGTCCATTCTTTACTCTGGATAAAGCTTACAGGCTTAAGAAAATAAAAGGTCTTGAGGAGTGCTCTTACCAGAGTACAGATTCAGAAGTTTCAGTCAAAATTCAGAAGTTTCACAGAGCTGGTATTTTTTGGTTTTCTTCACAAAGGTGTGAAAAAGGCATTGGAATCTTACCTTGTTTTCTGGCAGCTTGTTGCCCAATTTAGTGGTAGCCTACCAGGTAGTTTGGAAACTTTCCTCAAACCCTTCCAGGACTTCCTGGCTCTTTATCCATAACCCATTAAGTGGAATTTTGTTGTGGTATTGCTGTAGTAAATGCTCCTTTCTTTTTGTGTGTGGGAAAAAGTTGTTTTGTTTGGGCTTTTTTTTCGCCCCAGAACATTTCAGAAATTTCATTTTACTATAAAAATACACTTTGAAAACCCAAAGCTGTACACAAAATGTGTCTCATTCTACACTCTGCTCTAGAGAAAGGATGAAACAGTAAGACTTGTTGTAAACCTTAACAGATTATTCTAGTGTTTCTGTCAGGCAGTTCTTGTATCCCAAAAGAGAAAAAGAAATGCAGTTCCATGGTGAGACGCTGGCTCAGCAGAGAACAGGACAAAAAAATGAATAGCGCAGCATCTTTGTAGCTAGATTGGATCAGAGATAGAGCAAGGGTTTTTTCTAATGTGGTTAATGTTGTATGCTCTTTGGCTACTCCCCTCTTCTCTTTCATTCAGCTAGAATTGGTTCTTGCACAGAGTCAAAACACTGAAGGTATACAGCATCCTTTATAAAATGACAGTGTTACTGATGTCTAGAGTGTCTTGGATGTAACAAAAATATTTTTTTTAGTAATAGGCAAATAATAAAAAGATGCAGGAAAAAGGTGGGGTGGTCATAATAGAAGAATGAATGGGCTTTGGACCATGATGTGCAGTATTGGATGAAAGATAGGAGTAGGTAACTAAGTCATACATTAATTTTGGCAAACTCTATGTAGAAAAGCTAAGAATTAGGTGTAAGAAAAGAAACATGGGCCTTGGTAAATGCTAAGTTTTGGGGAAATAAGGAGAATAAACCTTTGTGTTTAATAGTGGACAAAAGATATAAAGACAGATTTGGGAATTCATAGTCACCATAACCCAAAATATTGGGCAACACACTGATTAAAAACAGGAATCTAGATCTACTCCCCTCTGTCCCCACCCCCCCCGACAGAAAGGTTAAAGAAGTAGAGCAGTAGTGATGTTGAAAAAATGGGGTCAATGGAGCATTTAATAGGGTTATAAATGACAAGGAGGATGAATGGTAATTATACTATTTTATGTTTCTTATAGGTAAATGGTGATAATTATACTAATGGACAAAAGGCAGGCAGATTAATAAAAAAATTATTTTGGCTGCATTACATCTATTTTGCTCATGAAATTTTATCTTGAGTGAAAAGAGAGCTGTATGATGGATATGGCTGGGGGGGGGGGGGGATAAGTAGAAATTAGTCTGGATCAGAGATGCTAGTCTTAGTTGGTAGCTTAAAGGGTGGCCAGGCCATTCCTGTGAATCATAAGGAAGAGTGTGGGAGTTGATGGGTATTTGTAGAGATTGCCCAATATGTGGTTATTGTGGAGGGCAAAAAAGGTAAGTAGGTGTGCTTGCAGGCTGAGGTAGACTTGAACCCAGTTGGGCTTCAGGCTGCTGGTTTCTGAAATTTTACCTGAGTTGACCTCAGATTTTGTAGAAGTTTTAAAAAAGAGAGCAAGACCAACATCCCTGAAGCCCATTTTTTTGCTAACAGCTTTTAGAATCTTGATATCTTTTAAGTATTAAGCAGCATTTAGGTAAAAAGAAATGCAGTGGTCCTTCAGGTATTGCATACCTTTTTTTCCCCTGCGGTTGTATTCTGTCAAATTCTGTGTAATAACGATTTTGTATTGTCTGTCTAAAATTTGTATTCATTCTGGTGGATCACACTCGATTTTCTTTATTTTTAGGAAGCAATTTTGAAAAATAGGGCAGGGTTAAGCTGAGACAGTTCATGCTTTCTCTAAGAAGCCTGAAGAATGTGAAACAAATTGAAGAATTTCTCAAGTATGGTTTAATGGTACCACATACAAATATGTTGTTTTTCTGCAGTGGCTAAATCATTAAAACAACTAAAAAAGCCCTATTGTTGCAGTGTGCTTAGATGGCATGCAGTAACGCTTACAAGCAGAGGAAGACTTACCCTTTTATATGATAAGCCTGCACAAACTAATTCAGAAAGTTTAAAGGACTGGTGATATTTCTTATTAGGGCATGTTAACAAGGGAGTGAAATGAGACTAGCGCAAACTTTGGTTGAAGTATGGATTAATGGAGCTTTCTTGCTCCATTAGGTGATGCTGGATCTAAGTATGTAGGCTTGATGTACATCTGGGTTTTGGATACAGATTACATCTTTGTGATGTACATTTGCACATTCAGTTAAAAAAACCTCTGGGGCTTTCTGTCAGGTACAGGGGAAACCCCATTTTTTTAAGAACTATAGCTACATTGGTCCATCTTAAAAAAAAAAAAATGACGTTGTTGAACAACTATCATGTCTGTGATGAAATACGGCCTACAAAGCATGCAGCAGTCTTCTTGTGCTGCTTGGGATGATGTGTCTGTCGTGCAATAGTGTGGAAGGCTGCGCTGAGGGTGTGTGTGTGTGCATTTCCCCAGTTCAAATTCACATCTAGGGGTTAGAGATGCTTTTGATATGGCAGCATGTAATGATACAGAATTGGGAAAAGGAGAAATTGTGGGAAAGCAGCATTGAATATCCTTTCCACTGAGACTGCCACTGCTGTGAAAATATGCATGTGTATCTCCTTTCTCCCTGCCCCCACTTGCTTGTGCTTGCCTGGTTAGTTGCTGACTACAGTTGCATGGTTTCTAGATTACGCTGAACTAGAGTCACTTCAGCACCATCTTATCGACACTTAAAAGAATAAGGCAAAATATCACTCACTGTAAGTTGCTGTGTGTCTGCTTCATCAAGGTAATTGTCCATGGGTGTGCATTTATCTATGAGAAATGCAAGCTACAAATTGCCATTTCTTGAAAACAAGTTTAAGGGCGAGGTGGTAACAAACAATTGTGCAGTAATAGCTCTGGCATTTGCTCTATTGTGTGGCTGTAAGATAATTCTGAAATACAAATACATTAAAGATGGAGGGGCAAAATAGGTGATCTTGCATCTCAGTAAATACAGTGTATCTTCTGTGAAAGCACATCAGTAAGAGTCATGCTTCAGTGATTACAAGTGAATATTTGAGTTACTCAGCATATTTCAATCTTAATAGGAAGCACTGATAGGCCAAAAATGAGATCAGTGGGAGGCATACTGTGCCCTTCAGAGGGAATAGAAATGTATTACACATGTTCAGTGAAGTTCCAAAGATTTTTCCATATGTGAGACAAAGTATTATCACTTACAAACAAATTTTAATTGATTTATAAGAAATAAACCATAATAAAATAAAAGCTATGGTCTAAGTATCTAGCCACGTGTGCTCTAGTGACAGTCTTACTGTTAAAAATCCTTTTGTTTAAAACTCTAGCTGTTGGCCCTTTGTGGTCATGATTTCATTGCTGAGATAATTAATTTCTATGCTCTCACCTGTATTCGTGACTTTTTTTTCTTCAGGTAGTTTAACTACATTCTGTTGCATTACCAGGGGAAAAAAAATCTTGAAAACTTATCTGTGAAGGTGAATAAATCAGGTGTCTTTTCTGTTAGGGAAGGAGTATACATAAACACATGCTTGCTTACATATTTCACTAAATATAGTCTTTTTTCCATTTGACAGGATTTGTCTTCAGTGAATCTGAATCAACTGCATTAGAACAGTTTGAAGGTGGCCCTTGTGCAGTGATTGCACCTGTGCAGGTAAGATGCATTTATTATAGGAATGGTTTAAAATTATTAAGCCCAAAATTTGTTCTTTTCTCTATATATGTGGAACTAAAATAAATATTAAAAAAATTGGAGAGGAGTTGTATTTTGATTTCATAATTACAGTGTGGAAGAGATGAAAAATTCAGTAAAAAGGCAGAGATTAGCTGATTTTGAACTATAATTTTACAGAAAAGGATTTGTTTGAGGAAGTGCAGCAGGTTGATTCAAGCAGAGGTAACTTTAAAGTGGGGAATGCAGAATAAAGGGGAGAAGTAAAACATGAGATATAAATGTAATCCTCATCCTTTCTCATCTCAAATTCCCTGTCCTTAAGAAGGGTAATATCTGTGTCACAATGGCTGCTTTAGCAAACTGTATTAGAAATATTTGAAGTAATTGATTTTCAAACCTAACAAGGTTTGCTGTGTGAGAAAAGGAGCAATGTTACACTTTCAAAGTCCTAGTTAGCAGAATAATTGAAGTATGTCAGGTGAATATATTTTATTCTGGATACGTGCTTAGGATTTCACTTGTGCTTCAGATACACTCAACCAACTGTGATAGTGATTTTTTGTTTTCATACTCCATTGTATCTTGTAGGCTATGTGCATACTCTTTGAAATGCTGTTTCTAGGGCAATTCTGGCTGCTGTGTAGATCTATGACCTGTAGGCTGGATCCATTCTGCTAGAACAATTTGTCTAATCTGTGATTGCTCTTCATTCTCTTAGAAGCACCTTGTAGAGACAGGCAGGCATTGAGTCATGGGCCAGATTACTTTTTCTGGTAACCTCCTCTTGACTCGCCTGACACAGATCAAATTCTGCAGGTATGTCTAGGTCTGTGTTGAGGCCTTGTCCACTGATAGGGGACATATTAAAGTCATGCAGCAGAGTTAATCTGATCATGAACTGAAAGGTATCTGGGTCAGACAGCTGACATTGTGGAATTGTTGGCGTCTCTGGTGGGTAACGTGATAGTCATAAAACCTCTGTTACGGTTACTTCAAGATGCTCTGAATGCTGGTCCCACCAAAAGACTTGTACCACAAGAAGGAGCACCACTTGTTTAGGTTGTAAACAATCAATAGAAAAATACTTTATTATGAGTTGCACTCTGTAACATGGCTGTGCCTAGTTCTGTAGTCTTACAACCAGCTGTAGAGTGCCAGGTCCCTGATGTTAGAATGACAAGTCTTTTATTTGGGGGGAGTGGAGAGAGTAAAGGATAGGACCAACCGGCTTCTTAAAGGCAGCACCAATTCTGTACCATATCAGATGTTCTTATAGACAGTGTTTTTCCAGATTTGTATGTAGTTCAACTTCCTTGAAATCAAGTATTTAAAGCATATTTAAAAGTGAGCTGAGTTCCAGCTAGGGAAGGAGGAAGGGATCAAACATCTTGCAGTGTCCACGGCTGCTGTGAATTACTGAAAAAGGTGTGCGGAAGATCTGTGACAGGAGAACAGAGTGAGTCTGTCAGAGAAGAAGTGAAAGTTGAAGTAGCTATTTTTAAGGTGCTGCAAATACCTGAAACAGCATCTAGTAGAGTAATTAGAAAGACCAAGAGTCTGCTTCCCAAAGTTTTTTCTTTCGTTGTTCCTTCTCTGTAACTTAGACCATAACTTTTTTTTTTTTTTTTACTTGCAACATTAGTGTTGATGGAAAGCAAAGCAAGGATATGGAGATGGATAGATTTTCATAGAATCACAGAATGGCAAGGGTTGGAAGGGACCTCGGGAGATCATCTAGTCCAACCCTCCTGCTAAAGCAGGTTCACCTAGAGCACGTTACACAGGACATCATCCAGGCGGGCTTTGAATATCTCCAGATATTTAATCTGATCTGCAAATAATGACTTGTTAAGACGTGGGCTTTTTAACTACTAAAGCGGTTTGTCTGAAGTGTCTAGAGTTGTCTTGTAGTACTCATCAGTTATATTGCAAAATATTTGTGCCTCCATTACTGCAGTCCTGTGAGTCTGGAGATGTTTATGTCTCTTACTGGACGATGAGCAGCTTGAAGCCCTTCTAATAACATGCAAAAATGCTTTGGTACAGAGCTTATGATATAATGTAAAAGTTGGTGTTGTCTTGTATTTTAATATTATTTTATGCTTTGATTACAAAGGCATTCCTTTTGAAGAGGCTTTTCACCAGCGAAAAGTCTACTTGGAGAGACTGTCCAGGTACTGAGAACTTTTTTTTTTCTCTTTATTTTTTCCATTTTAATTATTTGTAGGCCATGTCCTAGTACAAAGAATTTAAAATATTTTACACTTTCTTTTTGTTTAAGTGTGCTTCCATTCCATTTTGAGGCATACAGTATGCATACTACATGTCTCTCAATGCCCCTTTGTGAGGTCTATGCCTGTCCATAGTACTTCTGTGTTTTATAAATATTTGATTGAAATTTATTATGAGGTAAGGGAATGGTTTAGAAATCGTATTAAAAAACATTTTTCTAAAGACAGGTTTATAATTTTTTGGTCCAGTATAGTCAAACATCAATTAATAATTAATAAAATAAAAGTAATAAACACAATTATTTAGATAGCATTAATGTATTAAAAAGATACTAGTAGCTTATATAAGATACTGATGAGCAGCAATTGAACTCATCTAGGTTTCTGATCTTTCAGAAGAGGAGCAGAAGAACCTTCTCTGTCATACATTATGTGATATTTTGGAAATGGCTTGCTCTGATAATTCTGAGTCGTACTCTCTGGCAACATGGATAAGAGGAAAAACAACTGAAGAAACTGCTAGTATTTCTGAAAGTCCTGCAGAATCTAGTCGTCAAGAGGAACAACCTTGTAAGATGTATTTCTATACTAAATTACCCATCACTTAATGAAGTATTAAGTTGTTTTTGAGAGGCCACTGATTTTTATTATTACACAGATGGGGTTTTTGCCTTTGTGAATCCATTAGCAATAGATGAATTTTTGCTGTTGTAGAGACATTGATCCTTTTTCTCGGAAGGAATGTGCTATTTATCACTGGAGTTCTAACATATGAGTTTCTCTTGAATTTGAGCAATTTCGGTAATCCTTTCAATTTTGTTTTGTAGTTTGTTGGGACCTGATGGGTATTTAATTTGGAAAAATCTACATGCTTCCTAACACTGGAGGAATATTTTAACTTGTCGCTTGTTGCTTTATTTCAGTAGAGTTTTTGTAGGGAATCCTGCAAAGCTTTATCTGTCCTGAAATATTCTGGATCCCCTTTTATGGAAAAGTAGTCGTTTTCCCTTTGATTCTATGCAATACCAAAACAGCTTAATCAATTCAAGTTCTAGTAGATAAACAGAAATTTTTTTGTAGGTTAGAATTTTTCCTGTTACCTGCTTTTTGCAAATGTCTTGATTCCTTCAGTAGTCACTGACGTCAAGGATCTGGTGAACATCATCAGTTGCGCTAAGATGTGGCATCCAGTCTTATCTAACTGCAGCAGAGGCAGTGACATGGAAAATTTATCTGTGCACACATGATCATTGAGATGTGTATTTATTAATCTTTTAATAGGAGATATCTAACGTGTTAAAAGATAAGCTTCTTTTTCTTTTAGTTTTTGTTCCCAATGTGTCCCTTAAGAAGTATGAAAAACTCTTCACATGAGAACATGCTTATAAAGGTGCCATCTTTTGATGGAAGGAATATGTTATTCGTCAGTTTGTGGCATAACTACAAAGTAAGAATTGTACAAGTAGATTTATCTGTGTGCAGCTAGCTATAGCAATTAGTAGTGCTGGAGCTCTTTATGTTACAAGTCATCTTCATCTGCTTCTATCAAATGCTCCATGTGCTTTAGAAGGCTCAAACAATAATAATTAAAATGTTACTGAATTGAAAAAACAGAAGGTCACCACATAAGAGTTCCAAAGTGGTTTTTTTAATTAAGAAAAAGTATTAGAAAGTTGTATCTACAAATTTTCTGTTTAAAAAAAAAACTCTTCCTTTGCAAGATAATAATAAGGTAGTTGCAACTTCTAACTTCCTAATTTGTGTGGATTTTCCAATTGTCTCTGAAGCTTTTGCTCATTTTATGAAGTTTCATTTGAAGAAAAAGTGAAGCAGAGCCTAATTTCCAATAAGCTTTTACTGTCCTGTTTATTAATATATTGCCTATTCTAAGGAACTTTTAACTGTAGAAGATGTTCAGCAGAAAGTCTTTCTAAACACTCAATTATTAATTGCTCTCAACACTGACACTTAATGAACTAATCCATTCTGTTACATATCTACATTCTTCGTATTTCTGTACGAGTTTACAAGTTCTCTCTGACTTGTCCTTAGTACCATGGAATGTGCTTAGGAAGAGCAGGATGCATTTGCCATGAACAGTCTGCAATGTTAATCTCTTTCTTTGTTCATATTCTACGTTCCCTGCTAGACACTGAATGTACCTCTTGTATGTACTCTTCAGTTCAAATGGTATTTTACCTTAAATGTATAATACAGTACCCTTCACTTCTTGATTTAAGATATATTTGTTAGGTTGTGGGGTTTTTTTTCCTTTTCTGTCCTGCTATTTAACTATAGACCAGCTTCTTGCCTGGTTAGGCTTAGGACAAAGATGTAGAGAAGAAGGTATCGTTAACGCAGAGTTCTGTTACTGCTAGTGCAAAGGAATAAATTTATTTCTTGGTTGGTTGCGCTAATGAATAAAAATAGAAACAGGTATCATCGTAGTTGGTAGGACTTAAGAGATGAGTTGGGGTGGGGGGAGTATTACAGACACAGTTCCACATGGTAGGCTACTGCTGTTTGGGAATTGAATATGAGAATATATTTATAATAAAACCGTGAAATATGATTAGACACAGCATGATAGAGTATCATTTTAAAGAGTTACAATACAATTGTATTTCTCATACAGCTCATGTTCTATTGCTGTTCATTCTTTTCCTCTCCAATAAGCACTGTCTTTATTTAGCCTTGTTTGGGTTATGTATAGCTATACTTCTCTTTAGGCTTTCTACGTCTTTCCCTCTGTTCCAAATAGTAGTTCTCTTGCCACTTCACTCTGTTCTGTAGTAACAGAATGAAACTGCCTATTATCCTGCTGTGTGAACAAAAGGTGGATTCGAGCACACTTACTGAATGCAGTAGCATTTTTCATCTGCTTTTGTGGTGTATACCAGTGACTTGTTGTTGGCCATGTGTTGGCAGTAGTAGTGCAAGTTCCCAGGTTCAAAGACTGCTTTATACAATTTAGTCCCTCTAAATTTCTGCTTACAAAAACATATGTTCTTGGAGTGGGGTTAGTTCCTGTAGCATTTTCTGCAATTTACAGTCATTGTTTCATATTTTTAAAAAATGTCTCAAAAATACATTTTGTTAAGTCTAGCTTTGCTCTTGGTAAACTGATTGTAGCAATTCCTTGTAGTTTTTCCAAAGACAAAAATTAACATTCTTAAGACTACTGATGCCTTATTTCTGGAGTAGAAATAAAAGTATTCTATTGCTGGAGAATCAGTTGTATTTGCATGTAGGCAAATCAAGTGCATTTTTCAAAATATGGTCAGAAAGGGCATAAAAAGCCCTTTTTGGAATTCTTGTGGGAAGAATTGATCAATGGTGTTAGTCCTAATGGCTTCAGGTCTTTACTGAATTGTATGCAGTCAAATTCAGTAGTTAGATGGTCAGACTTTATTTAAATGTTCAGCACTGTGGCCTTTATCAGAAAGCAGATCTATTTTATATATTATTCTACTAGCAGGAAGATAAAGTCCTTATGGACATAGAGGGCACTAAAGAGTGCTATATCTTAATATTTTAATGCCTATAGAATTTGATAATTACACAGCTGGCAAGTATAACTTCCTGTTGGTAAAAGAATATCTGATTTTAAAAGTTCCTTTCATCCCCTTGGTTTGGAAGTGTTGTGAGGGGAACAAAGGTATAAAGCCCATGTTGAACTTGGGAAGACACTAATGCTGTATTTTTTTTCTATCTTGGACATGACACTTATTTGAAAGGCTATTTATCCATTATTAAAAGAAAACAATGAGAATTTATTTAAAAACAGGATGTGTAACACTGTGTAGAATAATTCTACTAATTTGTTTCTAATAAATAAGCATTAAAGCAGGGGGGAAATCCCAAAATTTCAGTAACAGAAATGTATATTTGAAGAAAAAATACAGCTTACCTATTGATAAAATGATCCAAATAATCATGCTTGCTTTTCTAGGAAGTAACACTTCTTGTTAACCTGCAAAATTATATCTATAGTATGCATATGCTTGATGACTTTGTGACAGCCACGTTTTATACAAATTTAACAGCTTAGTATTTGACAAATATTTTCAAGTCTACACACTCCAGTGGCTTTGTGCTCTTAATAAATTGATTAGTCCAAATAGAAATGTTCTCACTAATTTGTATGGTGGAATCTTAATGTTGCGGTAAATTAGTTTATACTAATCAGTTAAAAAATTTAAATGTCAAGGGAGGATTAAAAATTTAAAATATAATTAAAGCTTGAAAGTATACTAGCTTGCTGTGTGTATCTTGTGTCATTTTTTTGCCATGTGTAGTGCTGAAAAGTGTCTCTTGTGTATAGCTGCCTTGGCTGTCGAAGAGCTTGGCTTTGAGCGATTTCATGCATTAATTCAGTAAGTAATATGTTGGAACATTTAAAATACAATATTTTGAAGTTACACTAATATTCACAGCCCTGAAAGGGGTATGTTGAGAAACTTTTTGTGTGTTACAAACCAGGTTAAACTTGGATTTCAAGTTTTGGTTTGGGGGTTTTGGTAGTTTTTCTTTGCATTTTACCATTTAAAATGGAATATCATTTTGAGCATAAGCATTAGAATAAAACTGGAGCAATGTAATGTGTGAAATTGGCCAAATAACTTGTGCATTTCCAGCATATGAACACAGCTACTTTTTTGGGTGTAAATACAGAGCTTACAGTTCTAGTGAGTTTATCTTTAAAGGTAACAGCCTTTTATTTTCACAGTGAACAACTATAATCATTATACAAATATATCCCCAAAGAGGAAATAAAGAGCAACAGAATTTCAAAAAACACTTGAGATGGAAAATGTTACAAATCAGAACTAAAATAACTACTGCTTATTGTACCAGTAGTAATTATAGTTTGTTTTTCAAAACCAGTGTCGTATGAGGAAAGAAGAAAGAGGATATAAAATTATCGTAACCTTATCTGATCAAAATTTTCTGTCCTCCCCCTCCCTCCCACTCACCTCCTTGATCTTTGGACTTGTGGTACCCACTTCAGTTTTTCTGTCTTTCTCACTGGAAATGAATGCTTTGGCTTACGCCTTTATAGCAAGGGGAGGGATGGATTTCAGATCCGTCTTTGCCTTGCATTCCTTGTACGCCTTGTATACTCTATTGACAATGAAAGGTAGTTTAAAAATCTCAAGTGTTAGCCAGAGTAAACCCATCTATGGGTGTATTTTTGCAGATGTTTGTTTCTTTTTTAAACAAGACTTACTAAAAGTGTCCAAGAAATCAAAAAGAAAATAATGTACCTGTTCGTGTAAGATAAGCAGAGAGTGCAATCTAGTTTGAATTACTCAATAAAAACTAATGTTTGTGTTCTGAAAAGCAGTATTTAGCTCTAAATATCCCAAGAAATAGAAAGGGTATTACTTCACTGGAGTCGTGATGGATCTCTTCCTTTCCTCTGTTTTTATTTCACTTTTTTTCTTTTTAAGCATATGATGACCTGGTGTTACGTTATCATCCAGGCAGCAACCCTATTATACAACCAGATGGTTTCCCAAATGTGGTTTTGAACATTTTGCTTTTTCCAAAGCTAGAGTCTGACAAAATCAAATTCTCATGGGAAATGTAATAATTACTTCAAAAGTCTGCAAGATAGTCTTACCTGGTTAAGTGGAAGTTTTTTTCCTCCACTAGACTTAATGTCTTTCAGAACACTATATAATGCAAATGTTATTTTGGTGACATATAGTCTATTCAGAGTTTCAATAACAGTTTTGTAGAATTACTGGTTCAAGCCACTCAGCTCTTTCATAAGTGTATGTAACTTTATGGTTAGTGTTTGCATATAAAAACTACGTTCATTTTTGCACATTGCTCCAGAATTATTTATCTTCTCCTGATGCGTAAATACTAATGACTCTGTGGCAGTTACAGTAACTCCAGAACAGCTACTGTGTCATTCTGTATATAACATCAGATTTACTCTGCTTTTACATGTTTGGTATTAGTAGTTCTTGTTTGTGCTTTGTGCACTATTCTAATGCTTCATCTAAATACATTCTCCTTTCTGTTGATTTTTTTCTGTCTTTAGCAAACGAGCATTCAAAAGCTTCCCTGAGCTGAAGGATGCAGTTTGGGATCAATATTCAGTGTGGACAAACAGATTTGGAGTATTGCTCTTTCTGTATTCTGTAATACTGACAAAGGTTTGTGGGTTGTTTGATATTTTTTGTGTGTGTGTGTTTGGTTTAGGTTTTGTCTTAAGAGGAAGTTTCATCATATAACCCTTTTTCTGTAAAAGGTGAATGCTAAACTGATAAACTAAGCCAAATCTAGATAAATAGATGGAATGGTATCTTCATTCATGTTGCAGTACATTTCCAGCATAAAATCTTGAGTAGCTCAGTTTTGGGGTTTTTTTGGTTTTTGGTTTTTTGTTTTCCCCCTGATCTGGTAGAATTACAGACTTTGGAAATATTCTTCCTTGTATATCCCTAACATCTCTTATCAAGAGCAAGAAGTGTGTTTAGGTATCAATTAATATAAGAACATCAGCCTCTTAATGTTTTACTATTGCATTCTGTTGTTGTAAATGTTGCACTTCTTTCCTAAAGAGAGCAAAAATGTTTGTAAATTTTCTGCAGGGTATTGAAAACATAAAAAATGAAATTGAAGATGCAACTGAACCATTGATAGATCCTGTTTACGGTCATGGAAGGTAAGCTGCAAAATATGGTTGCTAGGAGTTAAAGTAGATTAGTGGCCTAATTTTTTATGTGTCTGTAACTGATCATTCATTTAGAAATTATTGACATTGTGGCAAAGATTCAATTATAACTTTATAATAGCTTGAAGCAGCACTTAACATAGTGTGCCTTTTTCACTGCTTACTCCATTTAGTGCATAAGTTCTGAGGAAATGCTTCTGTTATTGCTGAATTTTCAGAGGAATAATTCTCAAATTCAGGGCTACATTTTTATATCAAGTTGTTGATTGAAAAAGTGGAGATCATATTGGGGTTGCTGAATTGCAAATATACACTAATTAAAGGAATATAGTTAGAGAATAGCTGCTCAGCTGTCAGAATAATACAGTAATTTTTTCATTTGTTAGAGACAACCACTTTTTCAGAAATAAATTGTATGTCCCTTTTAATAGGCTATTTCTTTCTGTTATATAGCCAAAGTTTGATTAACCTCCTGTTGACTGGGCATGCTGTTTCTAATGTGTGGGATGGAGACAGAGAATGTTCAGGAATGAGTAAGTTGATTCTAGTTTATACTTGTTCATAATTTTTAATGTACTATGAGATGCTGACCTACAGATTTGGAATATGCTCTATTTCTGTTTTGATAGTCTTCTTGTTTACTGTCCTTTGATTTAAGCAGACCTCAGGTGGAAATAAAACATACTTGCACAAAATCTCTGATGTTAATGTCAGTGAATACAGGGTTGTCAGCTACAGATTGAAATGATAAGGTACCTGATGACCTGGATGATGGAAGGGAGTGCAGTCTGCAAGTGGGGAAGGTTGGTCACACTGGAGGCAGGGCCACTATTTGGAGCAGCCATATCAGGCTACAGAAATGGACTGACAGGAACCTCATGAAACTCACCACAGTCCTGCATCTGGGATGGAATAAACCCATGCAACAGCACAGGGCAGCACTGGCTGGCTAGGAAGCAGATTTGTAGAAAAGGACCTGAGCTCCTTGTGGACAGTGAGTTGCACGAGTCATGTCGCAAAGGCAGCCAGCTGCATCTTGGGCTGCATTAGGAGGAGAGTAGCCAGCAGGTGGAGGAAAGTGGTGGTTCTTTTGCTCTGGTGCTTGTGGGACAGCTCTGGAGTGTTGTGTCCGGTTTTGGGCTCCCCAGTACAAGAAAAGCATTGACATAGTGGAGCAAGTCCAGTGGAGGGCCACTGTTAAATCAGATTATGATCAATCTGAATTGTTCTTGCAGCTTTCCTTTGTATTGGGATAATTTGCTGTTCTGCAATTAATGTATCTTTTTTGAAATCTTGCAGCTCACTCCCTCATTTGTCTTTCAGATTATCTTTCTGGTAGACCTTATTTATTACTTACCTAAGTTGGAATTTTTTTCTTTTCCGAGAATAGCAAACTCGCTTTTCACACAGTAATATTTCACATTTAGGTTCTCAATCAATTCTGCCCTAAAAATCCAGAACCAGAACTCCCATAGAAACATTGGTCTCTTTTTGGGGGGGAGAGGAGGAACAGAAAATAATCTTTAGTACATTTTAAGAATCTGGTATTGTATGTCCTGTTAGTTTTTCACCAGTCGAATAATTGGACTTAACTACTGTTGGGAGCCCTCCATTTTCTTCAAGTCCTTGGGGTAATTACAGTCAAAACCAGTTTGTTTGCTGTCTTAAGTCTATAATCAGTATCTATTACAAAGTGATTTTTGTAGTCTACCAAAAAGAAGGACAAAGAAGAGCTTGTACTGTTCACAGCTTCTTAGGCAAAACTGAATTTTGGATACATTGTCACATTTCCTTTATCTATCAATCCTTTCTGTCATCTTTTCTTCTCTCCTTCAATCAATTATCCTGTATTTTGACTCTTTGGCTGCAGCCTTCAGCTTCCTTTCTGCAAGTGCTATGAGTTTCTCATGTAGAAGGGTTGCAGGTGTCAAAATAACAAGAACAGAATGTGTTTGCTAACTGTTTTCTGAAGGTGGCTTTATGTGTGTTTTTCTGGTTTGGTTACTGGTCAGTTGCCTTAAATTCCTCTGGTTGAATGACTACAAGGTGGGAGGTTTGGCATCAGTGTTGTACAGAACTGATGGCCAGTCCTGCTTGATTTTTCCCTGTGTAAACTTAATGGAAAGAGATTTCAGGTACTTCTGTGATTAGGTGTAATCGGTAGGTGAACTTCTGAACCTGAGGGGCAGGAAAGGTATCCCTGGGCATGGTGGAACAGATGTGCTAAAGAACTTGCAGAAAGCAGCAGATGTGATGTGGTTCATGGCATATTTGCAGGAGCAGCAATGAAACAACAGTGAGAAGTTTCAGCCACAATGCAAGAACAGGAAAAATGCTGGATAGGTGATGCTTATCATAAGCGAACACATTTACTGAATTGAATATTCAGAATAGCTCTTACTCACCTTACATTTTTATTCAGAAGTTATTCTTGCTCAACTCTTTAAATAGGAATTTTTAATTAATAAGTAAATCTTTAAAATCATTTTAAAGCCATTTTAAAGTTACTGTCAGTAATTTTCAGTGACAAAGAACATACTGAACTGCAAACTTGAGGAATTACCAGGTAGTTTGTAGATGATACTCTCAGAGCTCTGACTCTTATGGTATTGCATATCCCAATAGGGCAGGAGTTATTAAGTGGAATCTTTCATGGCCACCACTGATACAAATACCAGTGAAATGATCCCTCTTCTTTGACTATCTACATATTCCTCTTTAAACCTTTCTTCTTACTCTAATCTCTTCTCTTGACATGGTTATCCACAGTAAGAAGAAATGGGAAGGTAGATTTTTTTTTTCCCTCCTTTTTTAAAGATTGTCATTCTTAGCATGAAGTGTAGCAATTTAATATGAATACAAATAATGCTGTAATTGCTTTTTCTTAGCGCCAAGAATTTGTGGGGTTCCACGTTGTCACTAGGTGGCGATGTTCCGATATGGCTGGTAATGCTATCATGACATTTTAAAACCATCATTAGTTTGGGCCTGACTTTTTTTTAAAGGCTCAGGTTTTCTCCCTTATTAGAAATTTGAGTACTTTGCAAAAGCCTTTTTAAAAAAAGGAGAAGCTAACTTTCTGACAAGAGACATATGTATTCATTTTCTTAGATGATCTTTGGTGTTACCAGATCTTTTCCAGGAGTGTTTTTTCTTTCTGTGGGGTGAAGATACTCACAAGGATGAAGTTTGATTTAGGGCAGCTAGTCTCCCCTTGGTTCCTCGTAAGTCATCTGAGAGTGATTTAGGCTTTTGTGTCTGTCTTCTCTGTTGACTAATTCTGAAGGAGGCATGAGTGGACCAGTGACTACAGGCTAAAGCTAACCTAGTAGCTAGTTTCAGATACATGATCTATGTAGTTTGACTACTAGCTATTCAGGATATTCACACTCGGCGCTACTGTTGTAACCAGGATCCCAGCTCTCTCTAGTTATCAGTCAGAGTTCTCATTTAGTTATCTGTCAGGGGAACAAAATACTTAATAAACTGTGGTTTGGTTTTTTTTTTCTGAATAGTAAATATTATTTATGTGCAACTTTGCTGTTCTGTTCCAAGCATCAGCTCCTAAATCTGAAGCCTTTGTTTAGCAGACTGAATTTTTCATTGATTTTTTGTTAAAGATTTTTAAGAAATACATGTGATGTATTAAAATTATTTCTTTAATATACTGTTGCTTACTTCTGCCATTCATTTCCATTCATGGCACATATAAATGTGCTATTTCTGAACAATAGCTAGTTTGAAGGATCCATCACTAGTTTTTAAATTGGACTAGCTTGCCTGTGGCTCAGAGAAAGGATGAATTGTCTCAGCGTATGACAACTTATAGCAACATAGCTCTAAGTCAGTGAGGTAATGGGGTTCTGCAAAGTATTATCTATGCACCCCTGAATGTTTTAATTCCAAGCAAGTTCAAAGATAATCCTTGAAACACAGTTTCAGATCAAAGAATTCTGCACTGCAAGAGAGGCTTTTAATATGTACAGCTGAAAACTCTAAGGAAGGAGTTGTACTTCCAGGCCACAAAGGTAGTGAACAAGCTAGTGTTTATAAGTTTTGGGGTTTGTTTTTTGGAGTCGGGGTGGTTTTTTTTTTTTTGGCTTAACAGTAGAGGAAAAAGTTAACCCACTACTGTAATAACTTCTGCACTGTTGCAAAATTCAGTGAGGTAAACTTGAAGTTGGTGAAGGAAGCATGGCATACCATGCCTAACGCTGCAGCTGCAATGAAATATAGAATTGATTTCTGGAAGTCCAGAAATCTTTTAAATTTAGAACAGTTTCTTTCACTTGCTAATGGTCCTGAGGCCATCATAGTTTTATGCTGTTGTACGTGGATGATCAATGTTAAAAAAAATATAGTTGAGAATTAGTGTTTTAGAAGGAACTTTAAATACAAAAGTCAATGTTCTCTGAAAAAAAGGAAATACAGATCTTGTTAAATTGATCGTGGTGTATGTTCCCATGTGTATTTGCAGGATCGGGTTTGTGCTGCTCTTTGTTTAGACAATGTTTGGGGACCTAGCAGGGCAGTTTCAAGTAGACAGTACTTGTGCTGTTCAGATGATGTATATGTAAGCCCAGAGCTTCTTCAAATCACAGAATCACAGAATGGCAAGGGTTGGAAGGGACCTCGGGAGATCATCTAGTCCAACCCTCCTGCTAAAGCAGGTTCACCTATAACTAGTTTCTAAGCTTGAATTTTGAAGTACTTTCTCATTCTTTATTAGAGAGCCTCAAATAAGGCTCTGTAATTGCTCTTCCAATCAGTAGTACACAAATATTTCAGCTGTTCCTGACAACTGTGTGTGTTTGAGAGCTGCATGGTACATTAAGTGGAAGTCAGTACAGAAAATCAAATTGAGCAAATGATTTCTTTCCTGATAACAAAAGTATTATTTGCAAAACTATGTTTTATTAATCAGAATGTGAAATGATTAAGATAAATATAGCCAGGGAACTCTTAAAAAAAAAGGGGGGAGGGGAGGAGGGAGGAAAGGAAAGAAAGCTACATATATGCATATGCATATATGCATACATTTTTTTCCCTTTCAAGACAGCTGTTTTTAAAATTTTCTGAGAATAATTTTGGTGTAAGGTACAAGTACTTCATCTCCTAATAAATCCAACAACTTTTGAAAAGAGGCTATCAACGGTAAACTTTTAAAACCATCCATTTGGTTCTTCTTATTTTATAGAGAAGGAAATTATTAAACTTTGTTGTTTTTTGACTACGCCTTGATGATTTGCCATTGTTGCTGAAACTGCACATCTTGAAAAATTGTTGTTACTTGACCAATTCTGAAAGTAAGAAAAATTGCTTAAAAGAGGCTTTGTAGATTTTTCTTGAATAAATTTTGTGTTTTGTTTTGAACAGAACTTCTTGGTATACATAAACAGGCAACAGTAGGCTTTTTGACATTGATGGAATCTCTGAGATATTGTAAGGTAAGCCATTTTCTGCGTCATTTAAATATTTTCTTTCATTAAGGTGTTGTGGGCAGAATTGACAGTATTACTATAAGCTTCACTGTGTACAGTTGGAGATATTAAAGAACTTCAGAACTCTGTTCAACTTCAAATTAAAACAGAATAATACTATGCTGAAACAGATATAAAATTGTTAAATGTATCTGAGTATCAAATGTTATTTCATGCTATTTAAGTTAGCACTTTATTGCACCAATTTCATATAGCTAGTTAGAAGCTTATGTTTCAACTTGCATTAAGCATTATTTTAGTAATGTAGATGGTTATAATACTGCGAAGCCTCAAAGTGAATTGCGAATTGCTATTGTGAATGTTGCAGTTTTATTGTTCTGTTTTTATGCTATCACTGTCTTCCATTTAAAATAAATAGCCATAAGTAAAAATTATAAAACTACTGTTAAGTAAATATATTCTGAACATAATATATTTAAGACATAGAAGTTACTTTATGTATTTAACTGTGAATATCTGAAAGTAACTGAGTGCAACCTAGTCCACATTGTTTCTTCCTGTTGTGACACAAAATTTCTTGATTTAAGTTTTTTATTAGAGAAATTTTGTGCTTTGCAAATACTACTTTTGAAACAGCATTAATACTCTTAATTTCAAAAGGCTTTTTTGGTTGTTCTTTGCTTCCTTTTCAATCTCTATTGAATTTCTTTAACTTACCTTACAGTTAAAGAGGATTGTGTGGTTTGCAGAACGTTGGTATATTGATTGTAACTAACTGTCCCTTCATTTATTAAATTAATGTCAATTCACCCAAAACCAGCTAATAAGTCAAGTGGACTTCTAGCTCATTTAGCATCTGATTATGGTGTTAAGCATAGGAGTATTTACTCATGTGCATCTCTCCCAAGTTTGAAATAAGGGATATTGTCAGTACCACTTTTCACTGATGTCTTATTTCAGTTAATTATCATAAGTTGTATTGTTTTCCAAGTCAAACAGGAATCAGTGATCAAAATCAGAATATAAATATTTTACCCTGGTTTGTCATTTTATTCAACATTTATATTAGTTTTCAGAGCAGTTGGGACTTCACTAACTGAATTGTCATTAACTTCATCGCTAACTAGACGAGTTTTCTGCATTTGCTTTATGTTTCTGATTTTCTTGTACCTTTTTAGGTTGGCTCCTATTTGAAATCTCCAAAATTTCCCATTTGGATACTTGGTAGTGAAACACACCTCACAGTCTTTTTTGCCAAGGTATGTTAGATATGATTTTTGGTAACCTCAGGCAGATAAACACCACATAAATGCAAAGTTCAGATCTTGCCACAATGTGAGTTTCATGTGGATTTAATGTAAAAATGTAGTCACCAAACCTTTCAATTAAGCCTTCCCTTGGAGGCAGAGTTGTGCAAATGGTTTAATGATATCTCATAAATTTTAGTGAAGTCTTTTTGTTCTAGCTTAATTTATTGGGCTGGGGGAAGGGTAAGCTTTAGAACACCATAATTGGGATAAGTACTGTCTTTGGGCTGAAGATCACACTCTACAGCTTAAAGTGAAAGTAAAAAAAAAAATAACTAAAGCATGTAATTGGGCTTAAGTTCTCTTGTACTGCTGCTGCATGAAATAGTCCTAAACAGTGACAGCTGAGTCAATTCCTAGTTTTAACGGAAGTCTAGCAGTGGCTCAGCAGTTTCCTCCATTTCTAAAATAATAGAGATTTTTATTCTATTTACATGGTCTTCATCTCCACATCTTGATTGTCAAAACTCATTTGGTATGTATAGAAATATTATTAGCCTGCTTTTATTACAAGGAATTGGAGATAGAAAGAAATACTTAAGAAATAATTTCTTCCTTAAAACAGAAATTTTGATTGAAGCACATCTTATTGAAGAGAATATCAAATACCAGTAGTTTTTCTTCCTGGGACTTAGCTGACCTGTCACCAGCCAAATAATTATTTACAGATAGATATTTTGGAGGCAGCCATGCAGACACAAGTTGAAATGTGGTGGATAATCTCCTATACAAAACATGGAAACATGAGAATACTCATCATAATGTTTTGATCGGGTATCACCCACTTCAGTGGAAGTGTTCTTTCTAGATGAAAGAAAACAGAATCTGGAAACATCTGAAATAAATCTTCACCTCATATCTTCCATATTTTATTTTCTAAGATAGACTGTACTGAGCAAAAATACTAGTTTGTTCTGTAATGAGTTGGAAAGGACATGCAAACATTTGTATTAACTAAATAGTTAATTCTTCAGAACTCTGATACTTAAGTGTATCATGATAGAGCTGAAAAAACTTGTATGAATAGGTTGCGGGGGGGGGGGGCGCGGGGGGAGACGAGAGGGGAAATGTTAGCAGGGAGCCATAATTAGTACCAGCATATTTTCTTTCTTTCAATTACAACTGTGTGTGTATAAGGCTAGCAAGTTGGCTGATGCTCAGCAATCCAAATTTAACATTTACTGGAAAAAAGAGTGGCTGTTACTCCTAGTGGTCATGGACTCTGCGTTTGCAACAAGGTAGATTTTCCCCTGAAAAAGTGGATATGTAGGTTCTTCATAGGCAACTAAATCCAAGCAGCCATCAGTTCTGCCTCTCCCTGCCCTCCCTTCCTTTCAGTGAATAAGAATACTTTCAAATGGCCTCAGGCCAACAAAAATAAACAAGGAAGCTTTCATCTGACATGCTAAGTATCCCTGCATGCTCTGTCAGATTGTGCTAATGCAAATAGACAGTATTGTAAATGTCTTCTAAAAATCAGCTTTAAGTTACAGTCCTTTTTTTTTTTTTTTTTGGGGGAAAAGGGGGGGGTGTGATGCTCTGGATCAAATGCTGTATTGGTTCTTGGTCATTTTTATGATACTCGTAACATGGGAAGTTATGACAAGCTGAAACTATTCAGAACTTTTAGGAATGTCAGAGTGTAGTCAGACACTGTATAAAAGAATACCAACAGGTTGAAATGTTATGTGAAATATAACAAGGAAGTGTTTCAGTTCAATAGGAAGAACAGTAGCAAGTTAATAGCTGCTTTCTAAATACTGTCTGCTGACATGCAAACTCACATGGTCTGGAAGTTTGAATTCAGACTCTTTGAAAATGAAAAGACAGCATGGAATAAGTGTCTGTCTGGTGACTTCAGGTGATTGAAACTGTCTATGGGGACGCTTTGGAGCTGTGCAAGTTTTTCAAATATTCCCTTAGTCTGTTCCCAGGTCTTGGAGCACACAGACCACAACAGAACTGGCTGTCCATTTTCAGTTACAGCATTGTAGCATTTATAGACTTGAAGAATCAGATAAGCAGAGGAAACTCCTGGCTGAGACACCTGAATAAGTTACAAATTACTGCTTTTCAAGGAAAGTGTGGCTGTTTTGCTGTGTTCGGACTCTACTTACGGGTTTGGATTACGTTTTTTTATTTTTCTAACTTTGATCACTGTAACCTGTCCTACATACTCTCAGGGCCTTTCTTCATCATCCTTGATAGTATTGTCTCTTGGAAGAAAGAACATTCACTTCTCTTCCTAAATAATCTCTTTGATCGAAGTTCAACAGAGGGACACCTGAACAAACACTGACACTGCTATAGGAGATCCTGAATTTGGGTCAGTGGTGTTTAACAGAACTGGGCTAAGGGGGAGTGTTATTCGGTACAGCATTTAATCTCAGAACACCAACAGAGAATGTCAGTGGCCATGAAGGAAAATAAGATGCATGTGTAAAAATTCAACCATTACTAGTGTGTGTTAACAGCTCTGGTCTCTGCAAAAGTAACCAATGTACATCCAAATAAATTATACTTCTCCTTTAACTTAGGAACTCTTCTGCTTTGGGAAGGTAGTGAAAAATATCTATGCCCTTCCTTTTGTTTTTTGCTCCTATGACCATTGAATGCTGGTAATCAGATTTTGAAATTCTTTCTTCATCAGACAAGAAATCAAAATCAGGATTTTGAAGAATTACAGTTCAGGAAATGGTTACAGATCGTGTAGTTTGAGTCTTTAGTTTCCATGAACAAGTGGAATTGGTTCTGGTTGAGACAGTCTGGATATCTGGTAGGAAGAATATCGATGCATGAGGCAACTGCAGAAATAACTTCTGGACTAAAGTAGGGTTTAAATTTTCTGTGTGCTGATTAAGGGCAGGGAGACAAATGCTGCTATGTTCTTGACAATAGCTCTGACCTGGCTAAATCAGCAGTGAATCTTCAGATATTTCTATTAGCTGTTAATTTAAGAGCTCCCTTCTGCAGGAAGAGATCCCTTCCTAAAACGAATGTTAGAGCAGGGTGTTTCCTGTGGGATCTGTGGGCCCCCAAAGGGAATTGAAGGTACTTTACTGGTTTCTTTAAGCCTCACAGTGTAAATGCTATTGCTAGATGAATTTAAATTATTCTGAATAATGCAGTATTTCATAAGGGTTGTTGTCCAAATAAGTTTCCTAGCAGAAAGGCCAAGTCTCTTGAGAATAATGGTCTCATAGTTGGCAGGGGGCACCTCAAAATAAAATACTTCTGTAAGGTATCTACCCTATTCTAGGTTTGCATGATCACAGAGCATAACTTTGAAACCATATTCTGCTCTTTGTGGGTCTGCTCAAATTTTACTTTTGCATTAATTTGTTCCTGCTACAGAAGTGTGTTTCTATGAATGAGCACTTCTGGGCAGTTTCTTTGTTTATTGTTTGTTTGGGATGTTTTCTGTGAGAAAACTTGTGCTTTTTTTAATTCATGTAAGTGATTTTCACACCAGCATTTATCACAGTAACTCCTAGATTTTGTCTAAATGTTTCATTGTAATGCAACAGTGTATAGTGGCATGTTTGTTTTTAATGAAACAGTTTACCCAAAGTCATGGTGCCTTTATTTTCTCTAAAGATAACAGATCTGGAGCACTGTCAGTTGTGAAGTCTCTGTATTTCTATTACTCATTTTTTTTAATTAGAAATGTAGTTTTGGCTTTAAGTGGAGGTAGCTTTCATGATAAACTTTGGCCATCGTATGATTTCTGGCTTTGCTCAGGAAAAACATTTCTGTCTCCTTTTATTTTCTCTTTTCCCACATTGTTGGAATGAGCAGCCAACTACAATAGCTGCAAGGAAAAATCAGATATCTCTGTCTCCTCTTAGTTTTTGATGGTCTGTACTTTAGTTGTACTAAAAGAATTTTTTAACAGTGGAGAAACCAAAGCTCCTCAGAGTGGCTATACCAACTTTCTACAGGACGTGTTCTTTTTCATGTCTTGTGCACAGTCTGGGAAAGAACAGGTTGTGGAGAAGCCAGGTATGCCCTCTCCAATCCAAGAGATAAAGAACTAATTCTGGTTTTGCCGCCTCCCGTGACATCCTTTCAGGCCTACAAAGTGTCTTGGAGAACTCAACTTCCAAGAAGAGCAGGGATATGCAGAGGACAACAGAAAGGTTGAGTGAGATGGCTGAGGTGTACATGTCTGTGATAGGCAGGTGGAGTTCATCTGCAGAGCTAGAAGGTTAGCACTCATAGATCATCGTGCCATAAGAAATCCAGTAATAGATGTGACAGAGGCCAAATGATATTCTACTGCAGTAAACTGGAAACACTGTGATTGTGACATACATTGTTACATCCTAAATCAAAGAGAGTCAAGAGACTGCACTAAAGTTTTCAGGATTTTAGTGGGCCTGACTTGGATTTTCTGATTTTAGGGTTGGTGATCCGGGATCATCATTCCATCTTCCAGAGTCAGGTAGGACTCCAGTTACTCAGGGTTTTGGGCTTTCAGGTATTATTAGAAGGATGGAGTGTGATCTGAGTCCCTGCCACACAATTATAAAGAGGCCTTGAAACAGAGATCCAGCTATATAGATTTTTTTTTTATTTTTTTTTTTAGCCTAGCACCGTAACTAAAAATGTGGAGCTAAGAGAAAGCCATAACCATGGAATCTAAGGTCACATGATTGACTTTTATCAAGACTGGAGTGCAATAATATACCCATATATGTTGAGGAAATTCCATGTGAAAAGTACTAAAGAACATTCTGAGTTGTCTTCCTGTTCTTGAGGTTGGGTGGTAAAGATGTTGATGTCTTTGAACACTGGAGAAACGAATCTTTGGGCAGTGGTAGGCATTTAGACAACTTGTGGCAAAAACTCTGAACTGAAAACGTTCAGGAATTAAGTCAAGGTCCTGTAATGCTTGTATTGCTCTTGTCAGAAGTGCTGTGCATCCTGTAAGAATAGTAGCAATTACGAGG